GTCACTGGAAAATGCAGCGATAAGAGCGTTTCAAGCCAACAAAAAGATTTTAGGATTCTGCAAGATCGACTCAGACAAGTGACCCAAGATCGAGGTTGGCGCTGTCGACGTGCTTTCAGTCAAAATTTTCCTGTTTTCATTTTCTCTCTCCTGTGATTTGCCTAAATTGGTTCGTAGTGTTAGCAAATTGTAATGCTATTCAAAATTATTATGGTGATAATCACAGGCTACACATACATACACACAAACTTATGTATATCGTGTGCAAGTACGTGTGCCTGTGTCCACATATACACATACGTATTTGCAAAAAAAAAATACATATGTGTGCAAGCAGCGTGGGCGACATCAGATGTAAACTTATTTAAAATGATATTTTAAAGTGATAGATGTCTTATAAAAGGTTTCACAGTGAAAAAAAAAAAGTTATAAAAGCTGCAATTGAACCCTCCTGTTCTCGTCAGGTCAGTGTCCCCGTCTGTACCTCGCGTGTTCGTCTGGTCTCGTCATCTTCGGCGTGTCTCCTGACGAGGTTAGAGCCGAGGTCAACGTCTTTGTGAAGGTCAGCATAGTCCGCCAGCTCGAGACAGTCCACCCGAGTCGCCGAAGGGGCCAGCAGAGCCACGAGACAGAGGAGTGCCATCGCTGTCGTCAGTGCCAACGTTGTGGATGCAGCCATGGTCTCTAATAGCTGGACGAGGAAGAGAGACAAAAAATAATAAATGTGGAGATTTCTGTATGAAGGAAAAGGGATAGGGAAATGAGGATAAGAAATTGCGGTCTACCTGAGCAAGATAAAAGTTATAAAAAAAAAAATGTGTGGTGTGTGTGTGTGTGTGTTTTCGTGTATGTGTATATGTGTGTGTGTGTGACAAATAATCACACACCCACGTATCCGAATGTGTGTATGACAAATAATCGCCTTTTTACTTCCAGAGAGTCGTATCTTGTGTGTAATACCGATGTAATATTACAAGCGGATCAGCTGACTAATGCTAATTTTCATTTCTGTGTCTATTGTCAAATACCATAAAGATTGCTCCGCCTGCTGTTGAATTCCGTGACTCACCATCGTCCATAGAATTTAGTTCATTTTTAAAGAGAGAGAGAAAAAATACATATATTCTTGTCCGAAAAGTCATCGAAGTTAACGAATACCGAAGAAACTTTCAATGGATGTGAACAATTTCCTTCAGATCCGGGAGAAGCGTCAGATGGTCGTCACTTGCTACCTTCTTTTTAGTTTATTGTTCTCTCTTATTCCTTCATTCGTAACTTGTTTTTATCGTTTATGTATGTGTCTTTTTTCTTGTTTTTCCTACTTAGTGTTTAGTTTTCTTCTATTCTTTGTAATTTCTTTCATTCTTGATTTTTTAAAATTTCTTCTTTACTCTTTTCACCTCGTTCATCCACCATCTTCTCACATTTCCCCATCTGTTCATTTTATTTTTCAATTTTCTCTCACTTCCTTCACAGTTGATGCGTATCCCATATTCTCCCCCTTTTTTCATTTCCTCTCTTTACCACTCTATCCCTCTCACCTCCTTCAAAACCACTCCACGCTAAATACCTACTCCAATTCTCAACAGATCAGCGATACCCCCGTGAGGATGCTACTCTTCCACTCTCTCTCACTCCACTCCACACCACTCAACTCCACCCTTCCACTCCAACAAACACAAACAGGAAAAGATTGGGGAAGACACAATGACACTCCAGACAAAAGGACACGTTTGCTTAGGTCGCCATGATATGCAAATGTTCGAACAGTTAAAAGGGCGAGTCATAACAGCGCTAACAAGGAAAAGAGGAAAAAAAAAGTGAAGATCGTGATGCGCAATAACAGTAAAAAACTGATTAATAATGATAATAATCATAACAATAATAATAATGATAATAATAATAATAATAATAATAATAATAATAATAATAATAATAATAATAATAAGTGAATGAAATAAGAAATAAAAAAAAGATAGAATTTAAGGTGGTGTTGATAAGCATGGCAAAGATAGTGATGGGATTAAGGATTATCATAATGTGTTTGTAAGAAGATCATCAAACATTCATCATTCAGTCTTCATTAATTAATTAAGTAATCGCATTTAGCTCAGGAGATTTGCGTACTTGGAGTGACTTGATACAGGCACATTTTGATTTGATATATCAAACTGAATCGACGATTATATATATATAATATATATATATATATATATATATATATATATATATATATAGTCTATTATATATATACATACATATAACATATATATTTATATATATACATATATACATATATATATATATATATATATATACACATATATATATACACATACATACATGCATATACTATATATATACTTATACATATATATATATATATATATAATATATATATATATATATAGAGAGAGAGAGAGAGAGAGAGAGAGAGAGAGAGAGAGAGAGAGAGAGAGAGAGAGAAATGTACATGCACACACAAACAAACACACACAAACACATATATATGTGTGTTATGTATATATATATATATATATATATATATATATATATATATATATATATATATATATATATATATATATATATATATATTATATATATATATATATATATATATATATATATATATATATAGTATATATATATATATATATAATATATATATATATATATATATATATATATATATATATATATATATTATATATATATGTATATACATATATATATATATATATATATATATATATATATGTGTGTGTGTGTGTGTGTGTGTGTGTGTGTGTGTGTGGTGTGTGTGTGTGTGTGTGTGTGTGTGTATATATATATACACACACACACACACACACACACACACACACACACACACACACACACACACACACATATATATATATATATATATATATATATATATATATATAATATATGTGTGTGTGTGTGTGTGGTGTGTGTGTGTGTGTGTGTGTGTGTGTGTGTGTGTGTGTGTGTATATTATATATATATATATATATATATATATATATATATATATATATATATATATATATATATATATAATATATATATATATATACTATATATATATATATATATATATATATATATATATATATATATATATATATGTATATATATTCATATAATTATCACTGTTATCAATTTCAATCTCATTATTTTCATCATCGCTCTTACAGTTATGGAATCATACACAATTTGCGCAATATTCTAGCGGGAGCTTTCAATGTCTGAGGAAAGAGCAGTTTTGGAAGAGCCGGAACGTGATGTGTTGCTCCCGTAGAGTTTATCAACCACCGCATCACCCCGTTGAATGTTTTGATTCTGATACTCATTGTGTGATTTTCACGCCCCACGTCCGATATGTGGTTGGTGATAGCAAGAGCGTGCAACCGTAAATTCACAGGTTCACCCTATATGATGAATGATACGTTGCAAATGAGAGATAGCACAGGACAGAGCAAGTTGGAGGGAGTGTATTCGAATGGGCGACCCCACTAGGGATTAAAGCAATCAAGAAGAAGATTCACTGTGTAATATTATTATGATGACAGTCACGCTGATCGATTATGGTCGTCATACTGGGTATAATCATATCCATGATGATAGTGACAGTGACAGTAGTATAAATATGATACAGCCACCAGATGAATAATAATACGATAAAATATATGAAAATAATGTTACTTGTTATTATTGCTGCTCACATTATCATGCGCATCATCCACATGAATATTGATGATGATATTGTTCTTAGCACCACCATTTTGTCATTAATAGTATCATAACATTTTGTATCATCGTTATTTTCATTATTACTATTATTCTACTATTATCAATATCGCTATTATCATTATTACTANCGCAAATCAAACAATGGTAGTATATGTTCTTGTAATCTCTCTTAACTACTTCGCATAAATTTAACAAGGCTATTTGTTTTTCGTTTATAGAGTGTAACACGTACTCTCCAACTTCCAAATTAACAGGAGTGTACTGTACTCTCCCAACATTCGCAAATTAAACAAGGCTGTACTGTAGCTCTCCCAACATTCGCAAAATCAAACGAAGGTGTACTGTACTCTCGCCATTACATTCGCGCAAAATTAAACAGAGTTGTACTGTAGGCTCTCCCAACATCGCAAATCAAACAAGGATCTAGCTGGACTTCCTAAATTCTGCAAATCAAACAAGGTTGTACTGTTTACTCTCCTAACATTCGCAAATCAAAACAGCTACTTACTCTCCTAACATTCGCAAAATCAAACATAGGTACTTAACTGTACTCTCCTAACATCGCGCACAATTAACAAGGATTGTACTGTATCTCTCCAAACATCGCTCATAATCAACATGACAAGGTCTTACTTACTCTCCTAACATTCGCCAGATTGCATAACAAACAAGGCATATGTTACTGTATCTATTCTAATACATTCGCAACTCTCTTAAACAAAGGTTTACCGTACTCTCCCCAACATTCGCAAATTGCTAAACAAATGGCATTTTACTAGTTACTCTCCACTACATTTCGCAAAGTTAACAGGTGTACTGTTACTTCTCCCCAGACTTATTGCGCAATATCAAAACAAAGGTGTTACTGTACTCTTCCCAACATTCTCAATTTAAAACAAGGTGTGTACTGTACTCTTCCTCAAATGTTCGGCAAATTAACATTTGGTACTTTACTGTACATCTCCCAACATTACGCAAATCAAACAAGTGTTACTTTTACTTCATTGATTCCATAACATTTCGCAAATTAACAAAGGAATGTTTTACTGTACTCTCCTAAATTCGCAAATCAAACAAGGTGTACTGTACTCTACCCATACATTTCGCGAAATCTCAAACAAGGTGTACTGTACTCTCCTAACATTCGCAAATTAAACAAGGATTAGTACTTGGTACTCTTCCCACGATTCGCTTCAAAACAAGGTTGTACAATTGTACTCTCCAACATTCGCAAATCAAACAAGGTGTACTGTCACTCTCCTAACATTCGTCAAATCAAACAAGGTGTACTGTACTCTCCAACATTCGCAAATCAAACAATGGCAATTAGTACTTGTACTCTATCCCAACAGTTCCGCAATCAACAAGGTGTACTTTACTCTGCGGAACTTCGCAAGTTCAAACCAAGGTAGTAATGCATATTGAGTGTACGGTACTCTCGCCTACATTTTCGCAAATCAACCATAGGATGTTAATGTACAATCTTCCTATAATTCGCAATAACTACAATGGGTTAATCATGTAGCTGTACTCTCCAAATTCCGCCTCAAAGATCAAACAAGTTCATACTGGTTATGAACTTCTCCTAACCAGGTTTCGCAAATTTAAAACCAGTTGTACAATGTTTGACTCTCACTATAGGAAATATATCGCAAATCAAAAACAAGTAGAGTGATAACTGTACTCTTCCAACATTCGCAAATTAAAGCGAGACAGTGTGCTTGTACACGGGGCTTGCTCGTAGATACCATCCATAGTTGTCCGGTCCATATACTCGGGGTAAGTGAGAAACGGTTGGTGATAAGAGTGCGAGAAGGGATGAGAGATGGAGGTAGAGGAAGACGAATGAGGAAGTGATATAGTAATCATGGTTAATGGGGAATATAGACACAGCTTTAGCACCTTATACGCGT